TAGATCATTATTACTTAAAAGCTTTCTGTTTGCTATCATAGGCATTTCTTCTATTGAGCTAAACTGGAAAAAAATGTGAAATCTAATAGTTTCCAACCAGCATTTACAGATTTGCAAACTTGTTAGAGTTGTATATTCTTTTTGAATGCAGATTTTCTCCTTAAATGTATGTGTTGCAAAGCCTTGAAAATAAGTATGACGCTGTATCCAAATAACATTTAGGTAGAGAATGTTTGTTTTACAGCTTAAATCCTTCTCTATACCTTTTCTTTTCTGCACGCATAACCAATTTTAGCATGTCTTTATAAAATGTGAAATCCATTATGAGCTCCAGAGAGCCGAAAGTATCTTCCTTTTCACAGCACGGAAAACAGCAGCGTACACCTCTCCATACTGGTGCCTTTTTTCACTTGTAGAAACAGCATCTGCAAAAAGCTGCAACTACCTTTTCTCTCAGAACTTGACCTCTCCACCATGGCCATCTCTCAACTGGCAACCTGTCCGGGGGGACTCGCGCAGAATAATTGTGCACAGACCACCTGATAGCCATGAGACAGGGACGACTGAGCCAGGCTGTGCATGTGACTAACAAGCAAAATGCATTACAGTCCACTGCTAATCCCTTGAGCCTTCCAGTTGTTCATCATACGCTGCTGCTCGGTACATCTTCAAGAGAGTCAAGGTGAGGTTTCCACGTGCAGATCTAAACGAAGGGATCCCCTGCGTTACGTGTCCACATGTGTCTTCCAATGTACTCTCCTGCTTTTCTCAATATGTCATGCCTCACATTTGTTTATTTATTTGGAGAGGATGTTTATGTGGGTACTCCTTGGAAATCACCAAGTATATACGAGAGCCAGCTTGGTATGACTGCTGCCTCTTTTAAGGAAAACTTTAATTTTTCCATTTACAAATTTTCTCAGGCTTTGGAGTTCTGGGTTAATTTTTTTAACTTTTCAAAGAAGACTTCTGCAAATACTGTATTTCCAGTAAAAACAGAATTTTTCTATGCAAAACAAATGAGAACGTTGCTTGGTTTCTACTGACCAAATCTGTATAATTTATTAGATTTCAAAAATATGTAGACCAATGTCAAAGAAAATTATTATAGCTTGTAAATTCAGGCTAACAACTGCTATCCATAATCATAACATAATTTCATTTTATATGTGTACAAGTCCTGGGTTGTGGGGAAGGAATGCTCTTCAAAACACTGAAAGCATTGCAATAAGGATACACTGTACCTGCTAGAGCCTCGATGACATAAGGTCCATAAGAGGTATCACTCACTGGGGAACCAAGGGGCAGTGATAAAGGGTCTGGTATCACACTCTTCAGAAGGGTACAAATCCCACTTCATTCTGCACTGGCCAGCTCCAGGAGCCCCAAACTTGTGCTCTCGCATTCCACTGCTCGCTCTTCATGCTTTAGAGTTTGTTCAAAGCCAAAATATGGTATCAGATAATGTCAGTAGAAAATGCCCTTCAAGAGCATAGAAAATGCAGAGGGAGATCCATATAATCAAAAGAACTACAGACTGTATAATACACTTCTAGCGTCTATGTCTACTGTGTATGTCACCGTGCATATTTATTTTATTTTTCTGCTACTGCCAGAAACAAGAGCAACTAATGGTATTAGAGACAAGCCCAATGAAGTTCAATCTCACATTCTACTTTTCATACACAAACAGAAATGAGTTGGTCAAGGGATAAAGAAAAAACAACGACAAGACAAGTTCTTTAACAATATCTAGGCATCACTAAAAATGTAGATGTAAACACTGAGGAGAAAAACAGCCTTTGTTAAGTCTTTGCCATTGGACTGTAGCTAATTTTGAAAAATTGCATCTAAAATTATATAACATATTAAATAAAGGAATACAAGAGCTTCAATTGTAATGACTGACATATTACATGAAACACTGACAACGCAGGTCAAGATTTACATTTTTTTTGACAGTTTTTTTAAAATGTCAACTCACAAAGCAAGCATGGAGCACAAAAGTCCTAAAACCTCAGCAATCATTTTTAGTACATGATTAAGAGTAATGTTCTATTCATATACAATTACATAAATTAGATATGGAACTTTAAGGGGAAATGTTGATCATTCTGTTAGCAGTTTGCATATCCTTGACTTACAGTATCTTGACTTTCTTATCTCCAAGAAAAAAATCGTATTGAAATTTCATACCAGAAATTATTAAACTGTTTATATCATGTTTTTAAATTTCAACCTTAAATTGAATGAGTTAAGGAGGGAAAAACAACAAAACAAACCACATCCTAAACACTTCTATGTAGTCATTAAAAAGTGTTACATAATAAAGTCAAGTTGACAATCACTGACAAATCCATGGAATACAATGTTAAGCTCAGAATATAGCAGGGAGAAAAAAATGAAACTTTCTGCAATTCCTTGCAATAACACATGGACATGAGGGTTAGCACAGTAACTCTGAATTATTCACATATATATGTGAATTATTCAATAAGAAGCCACAAAAAGTAGACATGAGAAATATTCCTTTTGGTTCTCTCACTGGGACTGCTTTTTATGTAGCTCATGAGACGATGCTGGATAACAAAACTCCACTGCAACCTGTGGAGCAGCAGAAGAGGCAGCACAGGGAAGGAAAGGTCCTAATATGCAGAAAACTTCTTCAATCCCACAGTAGGAGGAGCTACTTCTTCTAAAATTGCTTTTGCTAGCAGGTCCAACAGAGTCGACATAGCATATGTAAGAATTCACATTTTTCACTGGCAGCCTTTCCCAAGTCACCATGCAGCACAAAGCATGTGCTTGATAAAAGCAAAGTTTAAGACATTTCCAGCTATTACTTCAGTTACCCTTTACACCCTAAATACTAGAAAAGTGTTTTGCAATAGCTAGTTACTTCTTGCATACAGAGAATTCCCTCCAATTCCCCATTTTATCACGTAATGAATGCAGGATCAGCCCTTGAAAGTTCTTCTTCACCAGAGTCTTGGAAACCCTTACAAGTGGAACAAATAGGATCTAAAAAGAGACATATATCTCCCCCTACCTGCAGAGTCCTTTATCCTCCCGCCCCAGGGAATGACGTTCAGAGAACTACTTGAGGTCTCAAAGATGAAATAAACTCAAGTCTTACAACCTGACACAGCAATAGTATGTGAAAGTATTCAGACTGGAAGTGCTGGAACCCCTCGATGATGCCTGTTACTTACCAAACTGACACATTTAGACTAAGAGGTTTTAAAGACAATTGCGATATGCCTTTCTATGCCAGTTAAGAAATCACTGATTGCTTTAACTGTTCTCCCACTAATGAATTATCTGATCAACAACACCCACTAAGACACAACATGAAAGAAGTCTGTGTACAAGTCTGTAACTTTTCATTCTCTCAAGGAAAGAAGCATGAGGTAATAACTTGAAGAATTTTCTTTTTCATCCAGATCCCTGCTAGCCCCTGTAGATTTGTCTCATTCCATGGAGAAGAAAATGCTAAATACTCAAAAAAACCCCAAAGGTAAGTCTTAACTACTCACCCTTTCTTGAAAACTGCCTTTTACTGTTGTAGGAACTGGTATCTTATTATCACAAATTCATTACAGCTGTGTCATCATACCTGGCTGACATCTCTCTAAGAAAGTTCAGGTTTGGTTTGAAATGAAATAAAAATTGCCTATAGAGAAGTAGTACTGCCTGGTAGGATTCCTGATGCTTAAGGTTGACTTAAAAGCTTTTATTGCTTAACTCTAGCAACCACTCCTTCCATACATAGGCCAAGTTCACTGTAATAGTTTAAATTCCAACTGGAATGTGGAGGTTCATATAGGCAATCCAAACTACACAACAAACAAGTACCTTAACTTCTCAGGCTCTAACTTTGTTTCTGGTTTCCCCTAAATGTTGGACCCTTCGTACAGCAGGGTTGTGTGCTGTATCAAGTGCGTTTAGGGGGGAGGGGACAAGAGAAAGGGGGAGACAGCTCACTGTATGTCAAAGCAAGCCAGCAACCTAGCAACCATATATTAAAAGGTGTGTGTGTTTTTGTGGGTGTCTGTGTGCCAGGAATAACTGAAGCAGATATTATTCCGTTTGTAATTCAAAAAATGTGAAAAGGGAAGGGGAGAAACTCCAGCTGCCGGTCTATTTTGGGGTCTGTCAAAATCCACTTTCACAATACAGAGTCTTAACACTTTCTATCCCATTTGTTTTAATCAAAAACTAAAGTGTGGACCTGAGCAAGTCTTAGCTTTGGTTTGAAAAGAGACCCTTCAAAGCAGGAGCCTGAACTTCCTTCACATACCATGCTTTCTTCCAGCTGGGAATATATAAAAATCGAAGAGGCAGTGAGGTTGCCTCAAAGACTTCATACTTAGGTTAAGAGAATACTGATCTAGTGTGTTATGAATGTACTGAATACCTCTAGATAGCCACGTTTAATTTAACAAACAGAAGCATCAAAGATTGTCAGCTAGCTTTAAAAATATTTACTTGAGTGGCAAAATTGAAAAGGTAAATTTCTCAAAGTTTCTCATTCCACAAGGGAACTGAGAATTTAGATCAGCAAAGGCAAACTCCTACCCTGCCATCATATGCGGTCCCGGGGGTGCAGATAAACTTCTGATCCACACCGTACCACTACATCAGCATGTGCCTCACTGAGAGTGAGGGAACACCCGGTGCAACTTTCGTGCCACCAGATGAAAGCAAATGAGTCCCTATGTGGAACAGAATGGGGGGAACAGGGACATGCCTCAGGACTGCACCCAGCACCTCACACCCTCCAGCCACACTCCCCACGGCTCCCAACAGCCCATGGCAACCGTACCACAAGAGCAGACAGCACACTGCCATCCAACGATAGCCCTTCGGCGTCCACTCCAGTGCCACCTCGCCTGGGTGTCCTGGTCTACAAGGCTGGGCTCCTACTACTACTCCTCCCCACCAACAGCACCGCACCAAACCATCACCGGCAGCAGAAGGGGAAAGGGAGGGGGAGTTACCTTGTTTTTGACCCCGCAGTGGCAGCAGACAGTCCACAGGTACTTGAGGGTCCTCCACAGCAGGATGATAAATAGTCCCCCAAAGAAAGTAACCATGGATGAGGCGAGGAAAGCCCACCACATGCGCTGTCCGCGGCTATCGCAGGGCACCTCCATGGTCACCGGGATGATGAGCGCATCCATCTTGGGCACATTGACGGGGGAGGAGGACGAGTCTGTGTTGAGATTGTTGGCGTTGATATTGTTACTCATTCTAATGCCGCCGCCGCGCCCGCTGCCGCCGGGTGGGAGCCGCCGCCGCTGCATTTGCATAGCTAACAGCGAGCCGGGCGCGCAGGGCTTCCGAGAGCTCCTCCGCCGCCAGCGCCCCCAAAAAACCCATCACAGCATATTGCTGCTGCTGCCGCCGCCGCTGCTCAGCGGGAAACGGATAAGGAGAGTAATAAAAAATAAAAAAGCCCCCAATCAAACAACAAACAAAACAAAACAAAAGAAAAAAAAAAAAAGAGCAGGTGAAGAAAAGCGACCGCACAATTCCCGGGTCCCTCTCGGGAGCCGTCAGGCCGGTGAATTCCGAGCGTCCTCGTTGTACGGTGAAAATAATGTTAAAAAAATTAAAAATAATAATCCTCCTAGTCTCCTCCTCAGATTCCCACCCCTTCCTCTCCTCTTCCCCCCTCGGTGCCGGTAGCAGCCTCCTGTGGCTCCTAATTCATCCTCCGCTGGCCCATCTGTGCGTGCGCTGCCGCCGCCTCCTCGCCCATCCTTCGGGAGCTCTCTCCAGGGCCCGGCTGTCGCTCAGGCTGTTGCTCCCACACGCGCAGCGGCGCGCCGGCTCGCCCCTTCCCTCCGGCCGCCCGGGGGAGCCGACGGCCGCTCCTGCAGCGCGGGCCGCCGCTTCCGGGCGATCCACGGCCCGCGGGCGGGGGTGCCGGCCGGCCGGGGGATGCCGCGCTGCCCGCCTGCACGCCGCGGTTGGGGGCGCCGGCTCAGGCGGGCTCCGAGCGCCCCCAATGGGCAGCGCCCCGCCGGCGCTCCCGCCCGCGGCCGCTCGGTCCGCTCCCGGGGCGCGAGGGCGCCGAGGCGACCCGCTCCGGAGGACGGCGAGGAGGGAGCGGTGGAGGGGCTGTGCGTCGCCGGGCGCTTACACAGGTGGCGGCGAGTCGGTGCCCGGCCGCGCCGGCGGAGCTGCCGGTCCAACAAGTACGCCGCCGGCCCCGGCGCGTCCATCGCCGCCGCGCTCTCCGCGCTCTCGCGAGCGCGTGTGGGGGGAGGCAGGCGAGCGGCAGCCCCCGCGCCGGCCGTGCGCGGGGCCGTTCGGAGAGGGTCATGACGCAGCCGGCCAAAACGCACGGCGCGCTCACGGGCCCCAGGCCCCCGCCGGGCCCCGCGCACATCGCTCCGCACTCCACATCATCCGGCATGCCTCCCCGCCGCCGATGGCCGAGCGCGGGGCCCTCGCAGCCCGGCCGGAACGCGGCGCCCTTCGGGACCGGGGCTGCAGCCCGGCGGGGGAAGGGACCAAGGGAGCAGGGGACAGGGGGGCGCGCTCGGGGCCCGCGGGGGAGGTGGACGCCATGACAGCCAGCAGGTGCCCGGGGATGGGCACGGCGGGGAGGAGGCGGGGCCTGGCATGTGGGAAGCCGGTAAGGGAGCGTGAAATAAACATCGGGGAACCGTGGCGTGGGGGTTTTTTTCCGCTAAAAGCATTCGTGGATTATCTTTAATTGACACGGGGAAGTACTGCGAACGCGCTCCGCAAACGCAAACCGTAAATTGCCGCGCATCCCAAGAACATTCCTGAAATTAACCCTTAGAAATATAAATAGCAATTTAAAATTACACGCTTGGGGAGGGAGGGGAGAGGGCAAGCCAGCAAGAAAATCTGACTAGTTTTCTCCTACCTGGAGGGGGGCTGGCATGGAAACGCGGTAAGGGAGCGTGAAATAAACATCGGGGAACCGTGGCGTGGGGTTTTTTTCCGCTAAAAGCATTCGTGGATTATCTTTAATTGACACGGGGAAGTACTGCGAACGCGCTCCGCAAACGCAAACCGTAAATTGCCGCGCATCCCAAGAACATTCCTGAAATTAACCCTTAGAAATATAAATAGCAATTTAAAATTACACGCTTGGGGAGGGAGGGGAGAGGGCAAGCCAGCAAGAAAATCTGACTAGTTTTCTCCTACCTTTTTTTCGGATTCACGTTGAAAAGCAGAGGAATTTATATGTCTGTAGATGTATTTATTTATATATAAATCAAAATCTCCATTTGGCACATGGTCTGCTCACTGAGTACAAAGTATTATGCAGATCCTCTTGACAGCTTTCCAAGGGTAAAATACAGCAGCCTTTGTGTGCGTGACATTCCCCCATCTTATCTAGTCGCTACACCAGCAGAGAGCCACCATTATGAAATAGTAATCTCTTAACCTTTACTACTAGTAGTTTCTGCATCTATCTGGGGTTTGTTTTTGTTTCTACTTAAGTGATGGTAATGAGTTTTTATAACTTCCCAAAGCTTTTTATGGGGCTCTCTAGCCCTCTCACCCTCAATTTTCTCGTGCAATAACACCACCATTTGTCTAGCTCCATGAGTTTATCATAATGTCTCACTCCAGTCTGTTCCTCCAGTCTGTTCCTTCAAGAGAAGGCTTCCTTTTTCAAGAGGGGTTTAATAGAGGCCTCTGAATAGAGAAAGATAATAATATAGAGGTGTATACAAGTGAGAAAAATACTATATTGCTCTGTCCTGGAGGAAAACAGATAGTCAGCTGAAGATTTCTAGATGCAGAAAACAAGTCAGATTGAAAAGAAACTGCATGTCACAGCTGCCACATGCAACCCCAGACTGCACTGCCACAGCTGATACCCCCTCACATGTCTTTTCATTACCAACCCTCTCCACAGCTAGAAAGCCACCTGGGCCACAAAGTAGTGTTCTGACAGGATGACATACCTTGGGTCCTGGGCTCAGAACCTAGTCCTGATGGTCATTTGCTCGACATTCCCGGGTTGGTGTTCAAGCAGCACCCTTTTCACAGCTGCACACATACCTACGAATCCTTTTATCCCTCAGCAAACATCAGGAGTGGAACAAGGGCAGGAGCATCGTAACACAGCCACTTGATGTCTGATCTTCAGAAGCGCCAGGTACTTACAGGCACTCTTACAGCTAATAGAAACCACAAACCCTGTGCACTTTGAAAGACTGGGACAATGAAGAGCAGCTGCACAGCATATCCCAGGGAAGGCTTTTGCCTGATGAAATTTCTTATATATTCTGATCTGGCAGATAACAAGGGATGAGTCTCTGAAGCCACAGACGTGACATATGTCTTCTCTTGCTGTTGAGACGGCCCAGAAGATTTAACAGAGGTGCTGCAGCCTGAAAATATGTTTTCTTGCTTTATGCATTCAGAAGGTATGAGTTTAAAGGTATTTATTTGACTCTGTGTACTGCTGCAGCTCAGTGCTGCAGACACCGGTTTGAAGAGCAGTCCAGATGCGAACAGGATCATTAGGCACTTCTAAAATATCATCCCCATAACACTGTACCCACAAAGAACAGTCCTAAAGAAAAATTCAGACTAAAGCAAAGCAAGAACACTACAGAATATAGTCTGTATATTAAAATAATTTGATTTGAACGTGTTCACACAAAATTTACACACAGACTTAGGGTAGGAGATTTATTGTGATCACTTGTAAAAAGCTGTTTTAAGTTCTGATGGTTGAAAACTATTCATAAACCAACAAACACGTACATTACATATACTATGTATATGCTATATACACACTATATATCCAGGGGAAAACCTTTTCTGTTCTCTATATAAACAAAGCTTTTATTTACATAAATATGGCTCAGTTCTCCAAATATTTATGATGAAACTCACACTAAAAAGTAAATATTGATATCAACTGGTGAGACTTACCTTGCCAGTGAAAAGTTTGCTTAAGAGGAATTATCTGTGAAAGACAAAGCAAAGTAGGTAACTTTGTATTTTGTTCACCTATTCGTAGACACAAATGATCCTTGAATGAATATCCCTCACAATATCCCATTTGAGCTTACTCCTTTATGAATCAGAAAAGGCCTGCTTTCTAGTGTAGGTTTTATAAAGCAGAATTTGAGAAAGCCTGCTTCATTTATTGAGGCAACAATGGGATTTTGTGTTGCCTTCAGATTAAACAGGATTTTCCAGCTCTGTTTCCTGGAGAGATCTATTCCAAGCAAACAGAAAACTTCCACGTATTAGTTTTCAGATTAGTTTATCTAATATTTCAACACAAGAGCTCAAAATTTTTTTAACAGTACTATTTACAGAACATAACAAACACTGTGCTTACCTGTATTTTTCCTGTTGCTACCATATAGCATAGTCAAGGACACAATCATGCCAACTCAACATAATTCTGGAGGGTTTGGTTCCAGAAAACAGTGTTTTAGCAGCAAGGAAATTGCTCCTCTCTATGTAAAACAGTTCCCTCTTGTGGATATTCTGTGTACAGTATCACTGGCAAAGTATTTAAAATATTCATCAAACCTGGATCTTTGCAATTAAAACCCCCACCTCTATTCATCAATGATTCCAACACCTAGGACATTCTTGGTATGAGGAAGAACAAGCTATTCCATTTTATTATAATACAACTTGCAAAATTACTCATTATCAATAACAAATTATTTAATTAAGTGTAATAAACACAACAAAGCTAAATAAAATTGCATAACTGTATTTATAGGAGTCAGGTATAAATCACAGTGGAATTTTTATTTTTCTTATATGAGAAAACTTTCTGTGTGCTCCATTAAAGGAAACCATGATTAAAAAAGAAGGAAAGCATAAACTATATAAAGGAGACAATAACAGCAAAACAGTTAGGGTTTCCAAGGATGCATGTACGGAAGACAAAGAAACTCTGCAATGATAAATCTTTCAATTAAAACTAAAGAGTCCAAGCAAGTAAGTGGCACAGCTTCACTGGTGACACAATATTGCACCAGGGATTAATTTGGCATGGCAATTTGGAAAAAAAACCCTATGAATGGAATAACAGTGTAAGATTTATGTGTTCTCTAAATGATGACTAGACTACATTATACAAAGAACAATTTTTTTTCTTAAGTGAAATGTGAGAGAATAAATGTGTACTCCCCAGTTTTGCCTAAAGGCATTTGGTCTGGGTCTAGGGAAATGATAGAAAACAATTGCATGTTATTATCTAGAGGGAAATTATATTAAAAAAGGCTAAAAGCCTTTATGTACCAATATACCATAAACTTGTTTACCACAACTTTTTTGTTTAATGGTTATATAAAACCTTCC